CCTGCCAGGGGCTGGCATCTGCCAGGCCCGGGGCTCTTGGCCGTGTCCCCCAGGCTGGCACAGGGGCTGCCTTGGCTGGTGGGAGCTGCCAGCCCTGTGTGTGTGCCTGTCCCCGCTCCCCCGGCAGCACAGCGAGCCCGTGCTCTCAGCCAGCAGCTGGCAGAGCCGATGTTTGGCTGGAATGAGGAGCTGCTGACGGCCCCGTGCCTTCCAAACACAGCCTGGAATTCTGCAGAGGATTGATGCTCTCGGATTCCTGCCTGGCTGCCGCTGCCCGCAGCCTCGTGGCGTCTGCCGGGCTGGGCTTGGCTTCCCAAAATCTCCGCGCCTTCGGGAAGGCGTGTGGGGAGAGGCTTTTCTCCTGGAGCACTTCCAGCCGACTGTGGAGCTCCATCTGTCCCGAGCCTCCCTCCCTGGTGAGCTCACGCCTCTCGCAGCGCCGTGGCAGGGCTGTTCCAGCTGGCAGGGGCTGTGGCCCTCCTCCTCCTCCTCCTCCTCCTGCCGCTCTGGTCAGCGGCTCCGGGGGAAGCTGGGCTGAGCTTTCCAGCCGCAGCTTCCCAAGTTCTCTGCCTGGAAGGCAGGAAGCACCCGGCAGATGAAAGGAGAGCCAGTGGGGATGGGAGCCACTTCAAAGCTGCTGCTGCTGCTCCAGGGCTGACCCCGTGCTGGTCACTGCCTGCAGGGGCTGGGAGGGAAGAGCCCCTTCCCTCTCCAGATCCCTGGCAGGCAGCACGCAGCAGCAGTGGGAGCTTGCAGGGGAAGAGCTGGCGCTGAGGCAGGAGCTGGCAGCAGCCAGGCTTGGCTTGCAGCGAGCCAGAAGGGCAGGAGGTGCTGCCTTGCACTCCTGCTGCTGCTCCCTCTGTCCCCAGTGAAATATTCCCTGTTGAGTGGGGCACTGGGCAGGGTTTGGCTTCCCTGCCTCACTTCCAGTAAGAGGAGCTGGGGTTTTGCTCTGTGGTCTCTGCTGGGAGAAAGCTTTGGTGTTGCAGGCTGGCAGTGGGACAGAATCAACCCCAGTAATGACAGGGCTGGGATGGGAAGCCTTAATGCCATATCCACGCACGCACACACACACACTGGTGTTCTGATGGCTTTTATCCTGCAAAGATCCAATTGTTCCATTTGGCAGAGTAGGGAAAAGCACACACAGACCCTTTTTTCCCCCCCCTCTCTGTCCTTTATCCTCTTTTACCTCCCTGGTTGTGTCCCTGCCTCTCCACACAGGACTGAGATCTCATTAGGTTTCGTTAATACCTGTGGCAGATAGGGGTGGGATGTGAGGGGAGCAGGAGCTGTGTGAGGGAACACAGCTCCAAACTGCACTGACAGAGCCCAGGATTTTGCAGGATTTCTGGTGACACTTGTGCAAGGGAAGAAAAATGATAATGTATGTGGCAGCGGATGGAATGGATCTGGGGCTGCAGCTGGGGGATCAAGTGAGATAAATCGAATGACAAATGCATCTCTCAGTGGAGATAAATATGCAGCACCTATAAAAAATAAATATTTTAGGAAGGGGGGGTGAGGGCAGGACAGGCTTCAGCAGCAGCAGAATTGTTGTGCTGACGGTTTCTTTGTGCTTTGGGGGAAGCAGGGAAGGTCAGGGTGTGAATTGCCATTTTTCTGAGCTGGTGCTGGGATGGCAGCTGGGCTGGCTGCAGGGAGGGGGACAGGCCCTGCTGCTCCCGAGCAGGGACATCCTGCAGCAAGCACCCCTCAGAGAGCAGTGTCCTGCAGGGAGGGGCTGGCTGCCACTGCCACCTCCTGATGAACAGCAACACCTCCCCAGGTGGCATCTACAGGGGGGAAACATCTCTGTCCTTCCCCCAGCTCTGTCTTCCGAGGCAGAACCTTGGGAGCCATGGGTGGAGGAGGCAGTAATGGATTTGCTGCCTGGAAACCCTTTATCTCCCTCCTGATAGCATCTCCTGGTCCCACTGAGAGGAAGGTTCCATCGTGGTTAACCATTTTCTCCTGCCTTATTGGGTCTCTTCCTCTAAATCAAATGTCTGTGCAGTGTTTGTGTGTTTATTTATGGCTCCAGCAGAGAGCTTGGCCTGCAGGATTCAGACAGCACTCCTGGAGCTGGGGAGAGCTGTTAGCAGGCAGGGGAGTCACTGGAATTCAAGCCTGGACACCCCCACCTTTCTCTCTGTCACCAAGAGTTTGCTTCAGTTCTTGGTTTGTGGGTGCCACAGCAGCGTGGTGCTGCTGCAGAGTGACATTTTGTCATTTCTGGTGTGGATTTGAGCCCTGGGAAGGTTGGGGGTGCCAGCTGGGGTTGGGTTTGAGCTCTGGGAAAGTCAGGGGTGCCAGCTGGGGTTGGGTTTGAGCTCTGGGAAGGTCAGGGGTGCCAGCTGGGGTTGGGTTTGAGCTCTGGGAAGGTCAGGGGTGCCAGCTGGGGTTGGGTTTGAGGCCTGGGAAGGTTGGGGGTGCCAGCTGGGGTTGAGTTGGTGGGGTCAGACCTGGAGCAAACCTCACCCTGCTGGCTTCATCCCGACCCTGGAGCAGCACCAGGTTTTCCCACTGAACCAAAGCCCATCACTCCCAGTTCACAGACACCTCCACAACAGTTTCAAGTCTCTTCTCAAACCCTGCCTTCGGTCCCAGCCATCATTCCCACCCACAAGCCCTGTGTGGGATATTCCCATCCCAATCTCAGTCAATATTCCACAGCCAACCCCCAGACACCTTCCCTCACTCCAGGGCTCGTGTGGTTCTGGCCTTGGAGCATCCTCATGTGCCCACTGTTATTCCTGCTCTTGCTGCAGGTCCCGTGCTCCTTCTGGTGTGGCTGAGCCAAGGCACAGCAGTTGTAGCTGCCCTGGCTGCAGGAGCACAGAGCCTCTCCTCCACTGACCCATCTTCTCCAGAGCAAAGCAGTGCTCAAGAGCTGCTCTGGGGCAAACTGCAGCTCTTTGCATCCTCCCAGGCCAGGGAGCAGCACCCCAGGCCTGAGTGTGGTGATAAATCCCACGGGAGTGTGGGATGAGTTCAAGGTGCTCTCGGTCTCTGAGGGTGGGAGATGTTTCTGCACCGATGGGATGTTTATGGCAGCCATCACAGTGCTTTCATTCTTCCTCTCCTTTTCCTCCTCCCAGCTGAAATCCTTCCTGAAGGAGTGCAAGGTTGCCAACTACTGCAAGCCCATCCGGCAGCTGCTGGAGAAGGTGCAGGAGAACTCAGCCCACATCTGCAGCAGGCGGCAGCGAGCGGCCTTCGGCGTGGCCAGCACCGCGGCCGTGGTGAGCCTGGGGCCACAGCCTGGGGACACAGCCTGGGGACACAGCCTGGGGACACAGCCTGGGGACACAGCCACAGCCTGGGGCTCCTCTGGGGACACAGCCTGGGGCTGCCCTGGGACTCCCCTGAGGACACAGGGACACCCTGGGGACACAGCCTGGGGCTCCTCTGGGGACACAGGGACACCCTGGGGACACAGGGACATCCTGGGGCTCCCCTGGCCTGCCTGGGAGCACAGGCAGGGAGAGGAGGAGCTGCTGGAAGGGGGCTGTGTGAGGTGGGGCTGAAGCTTGGTGGAAAGCAGCCCCTACACTGCATCCTCCTGTTGTTTGGGATGCACACACGTGTATGGCAGGGCCTGGCCTTTGCTGGGAAGTGGCTTCCATCATCCCATTCCTGTAGTGCCAGTTTGTGCCTGAAGGGATTTTGGGGATTCTGCAAGCCTGGGAGCAGGTGAGCTGTGTGTGAGCCCTCTCTCTGAGAGGGATCCAGCACTTCCCTGCCTGCTGGAAATGTGTCTGCAAGGTGATTGATGGCTCAGAGCAGTCTCTGTGGCCACAGGGGTTTTGGAAAGGCTGGATTTGTGCATCCCTGGATGCTCCACCCGTTAGCAGCGAGCTGAGGCTGGAGCAGCAGCGCAGAGTTTGTCTCCAGAGCGAGGGCAGGGACCAGAGAGGGAGCTGGTGAACCCCTGGCACCTCTGCCAGGGCACAGCAGAGCTATTCTGGGAGCAGGGCTTGGTGGCACTGGCTTGACAGTGCCTCAGCAGCCTCTGGGGCTGGAACTGCTGCTTGCTCCCTGTCTGCAGCGAGGCACTTGGGTGCTCTGGGGGGATTGCTGGGCTGGGATCTTTGTGGGCACTGCTGTGACCACCCACCCACTGCAGGGGCAGAGAGCCCAACCTCCTGGGCTCTCCCTGAGGCAGAGGAGCTGGGGAGGCTCTGGAGCTGAGTAAAACAGGGTTTTCATCAAGCCTGCCACTGTCTGCTCTTCCCAGCAGCTTTGGCTGCAGGTCCTGGGGTGGGAACCTGAGGATTATTTTAACTTCTTGCTGCCTGGGTGTCTGGCTGAGCAGCTGGAATCAGGGGAGCTCCCTCCTTTTGGGGCTCAGCTCCCCTGGAGCACCTGGGTTGAGAACTGCTGCTTTGTTGTGGGGTCTTGCGAAGCTTCCTGGGCTCTGTGGTGATCCAGGGAACAGGTACCGTTCTGGGAGGGAGTCTGTAGCTAAAGGGATGTTGTCAGGTGAGGAATTAGTTTTAATCTTACATCCCACCACCCCTTTTCAGCACTTGGATGCCAAATGATTGAAGGGTAGAAGGGTTTGTAACCATCTCATTTGCTTCCTACCATTTATGGGCTCCTGACTGCCCTGCCTGGGCAGCAGAAATGGGCTCTGCACTTGCTCACACTCTGCTCTGCCCAGGCTGGGCCCAGTCCAGGACCCTGCAGGAGAATGTTTGGTTCAAAAATAAACACTTGGCTGTAGGACAGGGGGAAGGCACTCACACAGCTCTGGGTGGTACTCAGGGCTTGGAAATGCTCGTGGGAGCTGTGCCTGAATTGACAGCAAGGGCTGAGCAGGTGATGAGAGGTGTCCATTGAAGGAGCAGGAGGCAGATTTTCTGGGATAGATCCTCTGCTCTGTCCCTGTCTTGTTCCTGGCTGTGGGTTTCATTTGAAGGCATTTTTCTCCATGACAGCATCATCTGCCTTGCCCTCTGTGCTGTCTCCTCCCTGCAGCTGGAGAGAGGGGAGTGTTCAGGGCCAGGACAGGAAGAGTGGGTCTCAGAGGGCACTGAGCTCATTCTGGGAGAGCCTCTTGTGAGTTCCCAGCAGCTCTGGGACTCACACCTCTTCCAGCAGGTAGAAATTGGAATCTGGCAACTCCCATTTCAGGCCACCATGCAGAGATAATTTGGGGATCTGCCATAAGCTGAAGCATCCTCTAAACCCCCAGAGATTCTCCTTTGTGGGGTCTTTGTGCTGCCTCTCGGTGCCTTTGGCATCACAGGATTGCGTTTTCCAGTTTTCCACTTCAGCTTTTGGCTGCCCAGGCTTTGCTTGGCCTGCCTGAGGAGAGTTCTCAGTCCCACCACTCCTGACTCAGCAGCTGCTTAAATAACTGAGGCTAAATTCATTCAGTCCTCTTGTCTCTGAGTTGTGGTTGCCAATTTCTGCCCAGGAGCTGGGAAAATGTGGTTTGGGAAAGGGTCTTCACCTTGTGCCCTTGACTCCCTGTGTTTTTTGGAAAACTGCCTGGAAAACCTTTAAATTTGTACCCTTTCTCCACAGGAACAGTGGGAGAAGCAGGTGAAGGAGGAGGGAACGCCCCTGACTAAATATTACACTCAGTGGAAGAAGCTGAGAGAGAAGGAGATCCAGCTGGAAATCAGTGGCAAGGAAAGAGTGAGTACCAAACCCTGAATGTGAGCCATGGGGAGACCAAAGCCACGTCCTGGTGACACCCAGGGACTTTCTGTCTGGCCATGAATGCCCAGCTGTCATTTCCCACATCTCCTGGCCCAGGGAATGCTCAGTGCTAGTGCAGTGGCCTGGCCAGGCTCCTGGAGGAGGGCTGGCTCCTGGGACATCACAGAGCTCAGGAGCAGGCTGGGATGAGGGGCTGGAGCACCCCAGGGCAGCCCTGCGGGGACAGAAAGCACAGGGAGGGCAAAAAGCACCTGTGAAGTGCAGGGGATGGGGACAGGGACAGCCAGGGGATGGGGACAGGGCCAGCCAGGGGATGGGGACAGGGACAGCCTGGGGAGGGGGACAGCCAGGGGATGGGGACAGCCAGGGGATGGGGACAGGGGACAGCACAGAGTGGGGCCAAGTTCCTGCCCCAGACTGGCCCTGCTGCTCTGATGAGACACTGCCCTGCTGCTGGAGCAGCTCTCTGCACAGAGAGGTGGATTTGGGGTTGCTGTCAGTCAGTTCAGAGAGGCAGATTTGGGGTTTGCTCTGATGAGAGGCAGATTTGGGGTTTGCTGTCAGTCAGTTCAGAGAGGCAGATTTGGGGTTTGCTCTGATGAGAGGCAGATTTGGGGTTTGCTCTGGTGAGAGGCAGATTTGGGATTGCTGTCAGTTCAGAGAGGCAGATTTGGGGTTTGCTGTCAGTTCAGAGAGGCAGATTTGGGGTTTGCTGTCAGTTCAGAGAGGCAGATTTGGGGTTTGCTGTCAGTCAGTTCAGAGAGGCAGATTTGGGGTTTGCTCTCCAAGAGGCTGCCTAGCAGCTCTGCTGGTGAATGGAGCTGTTGTGTGGCTCGGTGGGGACTGGTGGCTTAATGATGCAGCTTTGTGAGCCCCAGCAGGAGAGGGAACACCATGAGGCCCATTAGGGCTGGGAAAATCCATGTCCCATTAGCAGCCATTGGGGGGAAAAAAGGTAATAACAGGGAAAAAAAAGAAACCCAGCCTGGCTGGGAGCTGCCTTACACAACAGCTCTGACCCTTTCTGCCCATTCCATTTGCTTTTCCCAGTGGTTTTTAATGGGATGGGGACTAAGCAGCTTGGTGAGACTCAGCAGATAGGAACCCTCTAGCTGGGGATTAAAAGGCTGGCCCCCAAATTAGCTAATTAGTGCTTGTGTGTGATGAACACAGGGGCTGGGAGCTGTGTCAGTGCAAATCTCAGTCCTTTGGGATCACTCCACAGCTACTTTGGGGTTTGAGTGCCCTTCCTGCGGCTCCTGTGGGGTTTCGTAAGGGTGGAGGTGGCACAGTTCATCCAGCACCAGGTCCTGTTGGATGTGCCCAGGTTGTGCTGGTGTCACCCAGAGCTGCCCTTGGAAATGGGGACTGTTCCTGGGCACTGTGGGAATGCAGAATCCCAGCCCAGACAAGGAGCCTGCCTTGTCTGATTTAAATCAGAAATGATGGGAATTACAGAAAATGCTCTCAACCCTCTGATCACCCCCAGGCTGTGGCTGCCCCATCCCTGCAAGTGTCCAAGGCCAGGCTGGATGAGGCTCTGAGCAGTGGAAGGGTCCCTGCCCATGGAACTGGAGGAGATTTAGGGTCCTTTCCTCCCCAGCCCAGTCTGGGCTCCTGAGCAGCCTGGGATAGGTGCCAGCCGTGGGGTCAGCTGAGGGCAGCAGCTTGGCAGTGTCTCTGATCACTGCCCTGCTGCATTCTGCTTCCCAAATCTCTTCCCTGGCATCTCTGGGCTGTTTTTAAAGGCAGCCCTGTGCTGCTCCCTTCACACCCCTTCCCAGCAGGGCTGGGGGAGCCTCTCCCTGGCAGAGCAGGAGGGAAGGTGAGGATTGCAAATGGTGGTGGGTGATTTGCTCCCCTCTGCCCATCCCGGTGCTGCAGGTGATTGCGGGGAAGTGCTCAGCTCCAGGATCAGAATGGCCCAGCTGGGGACCATAACCTGGAACAGGCCGGGAGAAATTGCTGGAATTGGCTGTGAGAGCAAACGCCCAGCTCCATGTCCCTGCCCCTCAGCCCCATCCTGCCTCTCGTCTCTGCTTTTCCACACAGCCTCCTCCTGGCTGGGGCTCCCGAGGGGAGGGTGGCTGTGCTCAGACAGGAGGGCGTTTAGGGCTGCTCTGAGGGGTGGCAGGGAGAGAAATGAGTTCCCGAGCAAGCCCTAATGTGTGCTAATGCCTGAGCGCTTCCCAGGAGGGGTGAGCAGCCAGGCAGGGCAGGGGCAGCTGATGCTCAGAGAGCACTTGGGATTTCATTTGCATTCTGATTATCTTTGCCCTGCTGGCCTGAGCCCTTGCAAGTAAATCCTCCCCCTAATCCCCCTCCGGAGAGGTGTAAAGAGCACTGAGGTGGTGTCAATTGAGAGGACTTAATGGCATTGATATTGGCTGCCTGCTCCGGGGGCTCTTGGCCCATTGATCTCCATCAGGGCAGGGGATGCAGACAGACCTTGAGCATCCTCAGCTCCTGAAATCCTGAAATCTGCACCCAAAGCCGGGAGTGGCTCGGGACCGGCTGCCCCAGAGATGCCCAGCACAGGCTGGCCTGCATGGCTGTCACTGCAGAGCTCCCTCAGCCAGCCTCTCACGGATACCCTGCATCTTTATCCCTGCACTGGATGTTCCATTAGCTAAAGTAGTTTATTAGGGGAAGATCAATGCAGCAGCAGAGCTCTGCGTGTCTCACACCCCTGGGACCCCCTCACAAATCTGTGGCTGGCAACAGACAGACCCAGCTGCTCTGGGCAGGCTGGGAAAAGCCAAGTTCCTGCCTTTAAACACAGCCTTTGACATTTAAAAGCACAAATAAGGGCTGTTCTTACTGTTGGGTTTGTTTTCTTTCCAGCTTGAAGACTTGAACTTCCCAGAAATCAAGCGCAGAAAGCAGGATGAGAGAAAGGAGGAGGATAAGAAGGAATTCAAGGATCTCTTCGAGCTGGACAGTGACTCTGAGGAGGAGAATGGTGGATTCTCTGTGAAAGGTACAGGGCTGGGGCTGGGCTTTTCCTGGTCCACAATCCCATTTTCCTGGTCCACAATCCCATTTTCCTTATCCTCAATCCCATTTGTCCTTGCCCACAGCTCCATGTGCTGAGGGTCAGTTTGGCCCTGTCCTAAGGGAGTTTCATGCTGGCCATGTTGGGTTCAAGATTCCCTGATAAGGAGGGAGAGCAGAGGATGAAGTGGCACTGAAGGTGTTTGGGATGCTTTTATCCTGCTCTTTTTAAAGCCTCAGCCGTGTGTTTCTTTCCCTGGGCATGCCCCACACTCTGCTCCCCTTGGCTCTCCTTGTGTCTGAGCCCAGATCCAGGGGCTGCTTGGCTGCAGAGCCCTGTGCAGGTTCTGGGCCTGGCAGGGGCTGTCACCAGCACAGGGATCTTTGGTCCTGTCCTTGCTGCACTTCTGGTTTATTTATTTCACCCCACCTGAGCTTCCAAGCGTTCCCAACAAGCCAAGAAATCCTGGAGAGCAGGGGGTGATGCCACCTGGGCTGTGACCACGAGAGGGCCACAGTAAATTGTGCAACCTGCCTGGGAAGCTCACCACAGAGTTTGGGATAAATCTGGGCATTCCTTCTGTGATTTGGAATGTTTGGGATGTCCCAGGTGTGTGCAGCAGGAAGGGAAGGGAATCTGCAGTCCCTTCTTGGTGCTGTGGATCCAAGGGGGATTCCTGCTCCTGCTGCAGGAATTTCAGCAGGATCACACCCCCAGAATCCTCCCAGGGCAGCAGGAATGGTGCTGGATGCAGGGAATTCCATCACATCAGGATGAACTTTCCCCTGGAATGGGAAATGTTTGTCAGGCAGGAAAGAGTCCCTGGCTGGGGTCTCTGCAAGAGATGAAGAGGGGAGAGAATCCAGTTTGGGAATCTCTGAGCAGGAAAGAACCAGGAGCTGGGGAGGAACCTGCACTCCTGTGTCTTCCAGCTGGGTTTCTGGCCAAAAGGGAAAGCTGGGAGTTAGGAGTGGCTCAGGAAGATGTGCTGGGCCTCTGGAGCAAAGGGGGGTGGTGTTTGAGGGGGATGTTTGTGAGAAATGTGGAGGAATCTCCCTGTGAGTGTGCCTGGCACTCCTGAGCTCTGTGCCCCTGAAAACCCCTCCAGGGAAGGGCAGAGCCAGGCAGGCCTCAGATGACAGCTCAGAAGCCAGCAGCAAGGAGTTTGGGGAGGAGGACGATGATGAAGAAGGAAATTACGAAGTGGAGGAAGAAGAGGAGGAAGAACTGGAAGAAGACAGCGACTCAGAGGGTGAGTGGGGAATTCCTGACAGCACCCGGGGCCTTTTTGTCTTGTGAGGACGTCAGGAGGGGCTGCACACAGCCTGGAGGGGCAGGTTACTGACACCTCTCCTTTCCCCCAGCAGAGGAAGGCCGGGAAGGAGCCCGGGATTCCCGGGATTCCCGGAGCTGCCCCCGGGGGCTGTCCCGCTCCGACCTGCAGCAGCTGGCACAGGGTGGGGACGACGTCGTGCAGGACCTGCAGTTCTCTGATGAGGACTGAGCACCTCCAGCCCCTCTCCAGCCTGCAGCACCTGGAGCTGCTGGCAGAGCCAGAACACGGCTGGGACCAGCCCCAGGTGCCACCCAGGACCTGCTGGGTGACACAACTTGGACTTTTCAACTCAACTTGGACTGTTCCAGCTTTTTCTACCAGCTCTGTTTTTGGTACCAATAAAACCGTGGCCAAGTCAAGGCCAGTAAAAACTGCTCAGCAGAGGGAATAAAAGCCCCTCATTAAAATCTGCTGCTTTCAATAGCACAGAGTTCACTTCCAGCCTCTGCTAAGTGAGCTGAGCAAGGGAAGGACGAGGCTTTTGTCCAAGGTTCGCCTCTCTGCCCCACCAACCACCCCAGAGTAGCTCTGGGGCCCTCACCAAACCCTTCCTGGTGCCCAGAAGGCCCCAAGGACTGCACAGACTCTTCCAGAGCTTTGCAGCTTCCATGGAAGCCTTGATCAGTTCAAGCTGGCTCTAAGAGTGCTGCAGAAGGAAACTTTAAAGTTCCACATTGTGCAGGCATGAAGGAATAAGGCAAAATTGTTCATGTAGGAAACTGCCCAGGTGAGAACTGCACCACTGTAAATGTAAAAGTTTTCACTTTGAAAGAGATATTAACTTACCTGTTCTGCCCAAAGAAAAAGGGATTCCTTTTTTCTCCTGGCTCTAACTTAGCTGGGCAAGGTCCTGGCTGCCTTCTGCCAGCTGGGAACCAAGCCTGGGATTGGATTCCAGGCAGGAATGTGGCAGCTCAGCTGCACCTGTGGGGAGGCACCTGGCCCAGGTGGGCACCCAGGAAAGCAAAAACAGAGACTGCTTGGGTAAAGCCAGGTACCATTTGTAAATTAAGTGTTTTTCTTTTTTATTTAAATTGATTGCTGGAAAGCATTTTTATCGTGATGTGATGGATAATGATTTTTTTTTCCTTTTTTTACAATATAAAGAAGCTAAAGTACCACCAAAGCTATTCTGTAAGAAAAACGGCAGCACGTGCAACGTTTAAACAAAAAACAAACCCAAAAAAAAGGGGGGTGGGGGGAGAGAGAGAAAAGTACCACATGTGATTGTTGTTCACAACTGTACAAGTCACAGGAGGTCACCCCCAGGAGTTCCCAGCTCATTCACAGTAGTAAAAACTCTGCCCATTGTTTTCAGCCTGCCCCCCTGCCCTGCTCCCAGGGCTGTGTCTCGTGCTCCACAGCAGGCCAGAATGTGCAATACATCCACCTCTGTAACAAGGCTTCAAATAAAACCAACCCCAGCTGCAGCAATGAGCCTGGGGCAGCGAGGCTGGGACCCCTCCTCCCCCAGAGCATCCCTGCTGCTGCTCCTGGAACCCCAGCGTGCCGTGGAAAACAGCTCCCAGTGCCCTCCTGGCACTGCCAGGCCCCTGTGCCAGGGCAGGCTGCCTCGGTACCATCCGCACAAAGTAAACATGGACGGGAACTTGCCTTTTTTTTTTCTTTTTGTCTTTTTTTTTTTGTCTTTTTATCCTTTTTGTCTGTCTTTGGTATTGTTTTCAAAGTTGCTAGAGATGCATAGAACACCTGAATGAGGAAGTGAGCCCAGTTTCCAGGGAGGAGGAGAGCTCTGGGAAGGTGCCTGGGGTGGGTGTGGATGGGTTTTTTTGCTCGAAGTAGCGGCGGCAGGAGCAGAGCCCCTTCCCTTCCCTGTGGAGTCACAGCCCGGAGTTCCTGAAGGCCAAGAGCAGCCTGTCCATTATTCCCTGTGCAGGGCTCTCCAGCTGCACTGAGCAGTGTGGAAGGGAACGGGAATGCTGCCTCCATCCTCCAGCATCCTTCTCTTCCCTCGGCGTCGTCCCACCACAACATCTTTGGATAATCTTCCTCCCTTCCCTTTCATTTTTGACAGTTCAGAAATCTCCGTGGTTCTTTCTTTTTTTTTTTTTCTATTTTCCCCAAACGAAAGAAAA